CATTTTATAAATTGTCGTAAATATATATATATATATATATATATTACTAGGTAAATTCATGTATGTTTTAGTTTAATTTTTTGAAAAAAAAAATAGATTAGCTGCTATTTGTTTTTGTAGTCGCGGCTTGAAGGTGATTTCAAAATTTTCGAATGCTTTGAAAAGACTATGAATTAAACAGTGGTGAGATTTAATTTAAGTTCAACTTGAACCCTGACGAGATTATGCAAAACATTAGTGATTTCAGAACTCCATTTATTATAGATATGCCATGGCAGCTTAGCTTATTACAATCATAAATGGGAGCTTTATACGATATTTCTTTCCCTGAAATGAATTCACATGGAAACACATTATACGTGATATGGTTTTATGCTTTTCTCAGGAAGCAGATTACTTATGGTTTTGCTCTTCCCTAATATATTAAAATATACAACTTAATAGGTTATGTCCCTGACACCAGTTTCCTCAAATACATTAACCCCTGCCTCATCCTGAACCGTCAGTTTTAATCTCGATTCTTCAAGAGTTAAGTGATATAGTACTCTAGACACACGTGTAAATATATATCGTGTTACTATTATATATAGTTATATATACATAGTCCACTGTTGGAGCCGGTCTCCTAATTTAAGAGTTATTCCGTGTATGATGTAAGGCATTCATGTGTATATTGACTCCTAATCTAAGAGTTATGCCGGGTATGACTTAGGGTCATTCATGTGTATTTCTACATTGATTGGTCCCCTTTATCTTTAAATTATATATATATATATATAACATATACATATACACATAGCCCCACTAATTTTAAAATTTAATCTTATATAGGCCCTAATAAATACTTGTCTTAAATATATTTAAGTCGCCTGATAAAAAATCGACTCCATTAACTATAGAGTCTACACTACAAGAAAAATTAGGATAATCTCAAGCTTTTATTTTTTATTTTTTTCGGAGTAAATCCAACATATAAATCTCATTATAGTATTTAACATCACCATACAACTGTCCTAGTATTTATGTTCAAAAAGGTTAATAAGAATTCAAAAAGAGAAGGCGAAAAGACCAGTTTGTGAAGTGCAATAATGTATGTTGTTTCTACTTTCTTAATCAGTTTTCTGCGTTCAAATTTAGCAGTAGAAAAAAGCAATAAATTGCCGCATGCAATTGCAACATATTACAAGCAATAATATTCAACGTCAACTTCATCTCTTCGATCACCTTCTCTTTTCACATGGTCTTTACAGAGCACATGGATAATAAAAGACCAACTATAATTTCAACACATAAACCAATGAAAAAAGTACTTCTAATGGTCACACTTTAAAAAAAAATAAGTATTTTGAAAACTGCAAGGAAATATACTTAAACATGAACATATTTGAGAAATGTTGTTTCAATAGAGGAATAGTTGTAAATGAATGTGCCCTTTGCTCTAAAGATATTAATTTGAAGTCAAATCTCTGGTATATTTTCTTCCTTGAGTAGCTACAAGAAGTAAGAAACTGGGGAGAAAATGTCGAGAACGAACCATAATTCAATTGATTTAATTGAGATCAAGTTTAAATAAATTAATTATATCAATTTCAGCCTTCTCATAAGCATCGCATGTGATATTCCATAAAAAATAGTAGGTTTATAAATTCAAAAGTGGATCGGCAGAGGTATAAAATATCATTAGGCACAATATAGTATGTTTTAAAGTTTGGTAGTCATCTTAACACACAAGTGGCATAGTTTAGAGAAAGATAATTAACTTTTTTTTTTTTTTTTTTTTACTATTGAATTTTGAACATTTCGCCTTCAAGTTATTCTACAGGATGAAATGCAATGTAAATTCAGTTGATACTATCCTCGAATTAGCTGATTGGAAACTTGCCAATGATATTTTGCTGAACTAAAAAATGTAACATATTTTTAATTAAGTACCTATCATATTATCTAAACTCCTTCCAAATCATCATTTATCATGTTATATAGTTCACTTTTCTAATACGTACAAGGCATTGAGGTTGGCGCCGGCGTAGAAGAGGACACCTCCGGAGAACATGGACAGTTTCTGACCAAGCCTATGTGTGACGGTGGAAGCCACCATCGAGGCGAGGAGAGCAGCCAAGTAGAGTGACGATGTGAACACGGTTAGTATCGAACTATTGTACTCGCAGTACTGGTTGTGGTTAGTTAACTGATTACCATCTCCTTCTTCCGGTTCACCGACGGGAAAAACTTTTGCAGAAATGGGTTCATTGACGTCACACCGCCTAAAACAACAACATAAATGAAATTAAATAAAAATCAGAATTCAAACTTTTATTCAAAGAATATGTGAAAAGTGTTCATATATCTTCATTACCCGAGATTCCAATATCATAACCGAAAATCAGACTTCCCATGGCCGCTACAATGCATGTTGCGATGACAAAGAATGTCGTTCTCCTTGAATATTCCCTGTTGGGGCCGCCGGCTCCGGGTATCATTCCTCCTGACATTTTTGTTTGATTGAGAAGTAGGAGAAGAAGAATATATGGATGGATCAAAGGAGGAGGAGGAGGAGAAAGAAGAAGAAGAAGAAGAAGCGAGCAGTTGTAAAGAGCTCGTTGGCAATTTTCATGTTGTAAAAATGGATTCTGCCTATATTAAGTGCAGAAGAGGGTGTTGTCAGTTTTTTTTTTCTTTTTTTTTTCTAAACAAAAAAGATAAACTCAGAAATCCCTCCAAATCCTTTTTTTCCCTCTCTCTATCCCTCTATAGCCCTTGAACATATCGTGAAAGTGTGTAGCACACTCAACTATGACATGATAAATTTCAATGCCAACTGGACTAGTAATCCTATAGTAGAACATTGGTAACATAACAACTTACTACTATATTTTGCTTTTGGGATGTTAACTAGGCATTTGAACACCTGTAATCAGACAGTTCGTTAGTATAATAAGTAATTAAGTATAAGTTAAATCAACACTCTTTTCTAAAGTTAGTCTACTGTTACGCTTCAATAATTTTATTCATTTGCTCAAAATACTGTGACACGTCATTGGCTATGCCAACAAAAACTGAATAGGTTCAAGGATGGGAATACCAGAAATCGTATTCGAAGCTTGTGTCGACAAATAAGCTCTTAAAAAAAAATTTAGAGTTGTAAATTTTAGAACTCTGTATTAAAAAATGGATTGCAGTTTGATAAAACTCAATGCAACGGAATTTGGCGAATCATCCAGAAGGAGAAAATTCTTTTTCTTGTTGTGCATACCATGAAAGAGAATCATCCAAAAGCAAATAGCCTTATGAATAAGCGGAAAGTCTTATTTATGAAAAAAAGAAAAAAGAAGAAAAAAGATAGCTTTCTTGGTCCCCACTAATTAAACTAGAAGGGTTAAATGTAATGATTCCTAACATTGAAAAAACACTAATTTATTAAACAATAACTCATGCATGCAATTTCAACTTTCTCACTAAAATAACCAGAAATTTCCACTAGTTACTTTTGCTTTTCTATTCAGCAAACTCCATATGCATTTTTTGCATGTAGGAAAAGATAGACAACGTGTTAAAAACCTACTAAAACAAGATCTCAGTCAAAAGAAGATAATTATATATTTACCGTTCAAATTCCAGCTATTGTTTATTAGCGAAAAATTCCAAATAGTTTTCCATTTTAACTACTACCTTCATTAGTAGTAAAGAGCCCTGATTGCGTCACTGATATTGGTCAAAGAAAATGAGGTTTATTTTGTTTTATTAGAACATGAGTGGTTTTTGGACCACGCAAAAAAGCTGAAAACGTACAAAAGGTTCTATGTTCAGCAAAATATATATACTGCAGCTGGGTAAGAAAAACTTGAGACACAAGTACGGATAAATAAGTGCACAAAAAGAGAGAGAGTGAGAGTGAGAGATTCTTAACGGGAGCTCTTTAATGCGTGATACCTAGACAACGAAGTTTTGTAAATGGAATTATGAATGCGATAGCTCTAGAGAGAGACGTAATGATGATATTTATCAAACGTAAATCACCTCACACGCTGTTGCTTAAATTCTTTTTCACTTTCGAAAATACCCCCAACATAAATGTGAATGTTCTTAAATTAAAGTATTTTTTTTAATTTAATCTTGTTAAGGATATTAGTCTGTCCTTTTCAAACAGGAAGTTGTTCACTCAAATTGTGTTGAGAATATTTTACTAACACATTAATGCCTGTAACAAAATTTGGTTCCTTCCGCAAACTATATTTGTTTCTTGCTAGAATATTATGTTGTAGTGATGATTATTTTTTACATATTGGAACTTTAATAATTAAACTTCCTAATTTAGGGGGTTTATATATGTTTAAGCTGAATTAGTATAGTACTTTCGGGGATTGACACTGTTGAGACACAATTGAATTTGTTTCAAGTTTGATTTGAGTTTAAACAAATTAATAGTTTTCAGTTTAAGAAAACTGACCAATATATCAAACCCTATTAACAAACTTTTAATGGAGATACTATAGTGGCCTGCATAGTTTAACAGTGGCTCCATAGCTGACTGCATCTTAAGGTGTTTAATTCATTTTTTCCTACTTCTAATTTTCTTTTAATGGAGACAATATATAGGCAGTTTTTCCTAAAAAATAATACACTCCATATAAAAGAAGTATTTCCTCCAAAAACAAAAAACAAAAAACAAAAAAAAAAACAAATGAAAGGATGATCAAAATATCAGCTTCTAATTTTACGTTAAAAACTTTATGTAGCTTTAAGTTCAATTACTAATAGAAAACAAGAAAACAAGAAGCAAACTTTAAGTTCAATTACTAACAGAAAACAAGAAAACCTAACACAAGTCCCTATAAATCTCTAACCAACAGTAGCGTAATTTCTTTTACATTAGTAATGATACTAGATAGGAAAACGAAATATTATCCTCTTTTTTTTTTTTGTCCTCAACTTGTAATACTGTTCTTTGACTTGTAATGTGTACTATCAGTTGGAGCGGTTACATCGTAGGCTCTTTAGGAAAGAGCCACTCTTAGTGATCTCACGCAGTGGCTTGTCAGTGAACCTGATTAAGTTGTAGACCCATGCGCCAGCTGTTGCCCCAAGAGTTGGTGCCACCAGGTAAATCCATATTCCTTTATACTGGTTGAAAACTATTGCAGGACCTAAGCTTCTTGCTGGGTTCATTGACGCACCTGAAATTGGCCTGCAATAACACAATTATAGGACCCCAAAATCATTAGCTAGGATTAAGAGTTAAAAGACCCTTTTGAGCTAGAAATTAAAAGAGAGCAATCTAGCACCAATCTACAAATGAAAAATAAAGAGACCAATATGCTTAATTGTGACCAATATTGCATAACCAATGTTATCACTTGCATGACAATCAAATATGAAATGAATTAAACAGAAGTGTTAATAATATACCCTGCAAACAACACATTAAGAAGAACTGTAGCGCCAACAGCAAGCCCAGCTAGCTCTCCAATCTGCACACATTAAAATATAAATAAATAAATACAAACATATGTATATGTGATCAACTATATTAATAATGAAAAATGATATAAAAATCAATCCTACCCGCTCTTGTATCAGTTGCAACCCCCGACACAACAAACATCAGATAAAATGTGATTATAAATTCAATCACAAATGATTGCATCTAAGAATTAGCAGGAACTGTTCCTATAAAGTACCGATATCGTGTGCCATCAAATAATAGTCTGAGTGTACCACTAGCTAGCATAGATCCAAGGACTTGAGCGACAATGTAAGCTGGTATCTACGAAAACAAAAATTAAAAATTAAAAATAAAAAGAGCAGTGAACATATCACAAATTAACCGTTCAAAAAAAAAATTCATAAACTAAGCTTGTACAATTAATCCGCATATAACAACAAAAAATTCTTACGTGCATTTCACATAAATTGCGGACTTTGAAAGTACCCAATGTAATTGATGTAACATCCAAACGGAGAAGTAATTTTTGTGTATATTGAGGGGACGTATGTTTACATTTGCATTACTAATGAATATATACACAAACATACGGTTAATTACAAAGAGTTGTCCGTATACAATGGCATTAAAAATAAGGAAAGAAATCAAAAATCGATAAATACATAAAAAAAAAAAACACAGGAAAGAGAAATCAGGACAGAAAGAGGGGAAGGAAAATCAATGAATTAGTCAAAAGGAAAATACACTAATTAATCCAAATACTATGAGCAACAAAGTTGAGGTTCCATGAAAATTCCACAAGCATCTCAGGGGGAATCCAAGGCAAAGTTTGGTCCAAGACTCTCACACAAGCCAATGTAATTGTAGTTTATTTATTATTATTATTATTTTATAAAAGAAACTTTATTAGACTAAGCCATAAAGACTGGCTCAGCAGCCACAATCTCCAAATAGAACATAGGACCTCATCAGACCAGAATTGCTCAAAAACAGAAGAAATAACACTGCCAGCTAACGTAAATTATGGTTTATTTTACCTGTTTGTATGGGAATCTCTTAGTAATAGCAAAAGCAATGGTAACCGCGGGATTAAAATGCGCTCCGGAGATGTGGCCGACAGAGTAGATCATGACCATCACAACCAATCCCCAAGTAATGCAAATCCCAGGAAAAGTTACCACTTTATCAAAGTCCAAATTCACAGCCACAGAAGCACAACCAGCAAATATAACAAAATATGTGCCCAATACCTCGGCAATCAGCTATAGTAAAAGAAGAGGAAAAAAAAGTTCTCAACAAAAAAGAAAAAAAAAACATTTGCATGACAGAATGATACAAAAGCGTTTGAGGAATTGCCTTCTAAAGAAATGGTACAGAGACACAAATCTTTGGAGATTGACCAGAAGAACTCATTTGAGATGCATCGACATTTTCTACATTTACAACTTGGTGTTCAGGGATTGATTCAATATCTGCCATCACTTCAACAAATAAAACAAATAGAGAGAGAGAGAGAGAGAGGGGGAGAGGGAGGGAGGGATGGAGGGCCGGGGGGTGGAGGGGTTTGGACTAAAGTAGAGAAAGAAGGAGAACGATAAGAAGAAGAAAACAAAAGAAGAGGAAAACAAAAAACAAAAGAAGACTTTTGACCAGAGAGAGATAGAAAACTTTAGGAATCGGACAAGGATTAAGAACACTATAAATGGATCGATATTTGAAAGCAAGTAATAAGAGGATAATGAAACACGGCAGATATATTGTCCTGATTTGACTTCTAAATTACAAAAGAAGCAAATAGGAAACATCCTAGGACAATGAAATAACACATAAAATAGGTAAATTTAAAGCACGTCTTATGTCATAAATAAATAAAAAATACGCATCAACATGCGTTCAATTTTAAAAAAAATAAATAAATAAGAAATGCAAAACTAAAAACAAAAGAAATGATCAAAAAGAAATTATAGAATTTAATTCAAAAAATTTGACCATGCAATAAAACTAATTTACAAAGACTAAGGATGTTTACAAGTAAAATGGCTAGTAAATTTAATTGTTCATTGAAAACTTAAAAGAAATTAATATCGTCAATTCCTAATTTATAGTTATACTTTGTGTCTCTTTGTTTTTATCAAGGATATGCAATTTATATGCCAATAAAGAGATATTAGTATTACACACATGAATTACGTAATGATTGGTGTGTGTGTGTGTGTATATTTGGTAACAGTTGTAATTCATATATTAATATTCATATAAAACCACCCAATCTCGAGATCCTTAGCATATTGATATTATAAAGATAAGGATCACTCTTTTCTTAGTTGTCCGGGGTGTATCTCCGTAATATTTTCTACTCATTGAATGCCAAAAGATCAAAATTGAAATAAAAAAGAACCAAGTGTATATATGCTATATATAATATAATTTTTTCTACCAAAAAAAAAAAAAAATTCTTTTTAAGGGAATACTTTGTACAAGTGTTAAGTACCTAAGGGAGGTGTAAAGGCTCCTAAGGCGTCTGAGGAGTTCCTAAGAATGATGGCGTTGCGCTTTTTCTCTATGTCCGTAAAGGCCTGTGAAAACCGCCATTCGCTTTCATCTAGGGTAGTGACAAAAAAGTCAATGAAATTTAGAACAACACTTAATGTCGACCACCCAACCCTTCCACAAAGCAAGAGCAAACCCTACTCTGTCCTACACAATCCACTCGAAACATAAACATATTGAAAAAATATCACGATCTAGAAACATAAACATCTTAGTTGTACTGGAAAATAAAGTGAAAATTGAATAATCAAAGAACTAAAGCTTAAGAGATAGATCAATAAGTACTGTTTTTGCATTTTCAGATTGATCGCTACTCCTTTCAAAAGCATCATTACCTTGGGTTGCCTGATTGATACTAATGTTAGAAGTAGCAGTAGCAACACTAGAACCACCATAATTGAGATAAAATCCACCATTAATTTGTTCAAATCGTGAGGAAGAATTACTTCCTTCAAACCCTAATCAACCAACACTACTAGCAAAAACGTTATGCGATCTCAGCATCTCGTCTACGAAAGATTTGGGAGTCATAAAACCTTTACCTTGACCTCCATAAGCTACCGCCACCATCAAGGCCGAATCCTCAGGACACACCGGAGATGGCCAAATTATCATTGAACTCATCCGTACACCCGGTTGTGGCTTATTGAAAGATGATCCACACAAATAATGGGAAGGACTGTATGAATAAGGGTAGTAAGGGAATTGAGGATTCCCAAACGATTCCGAAGGGTGTCGTTTGGCCATTCCACGCTCTTGTTTGTATGCGTTTTGATGGCCTCCCAATGCTTGGTAAGTTGAGAACGATCTCGTACAAAAGTTGCATGGAAAAACCCTGTTTTTAGTTTCTATAGTTTTCTTCTCACATGAAAGCTTAACGGAAGACTTTACGCTCTTGTTGCAGGCATGATGTGGAGAGCTAGGATTTATAGAGTTAAAAAGATTGCGTTCTAACTTTGATCCACCTACCGATTTTTCGTTAGAAAGCTTGAGATCAAGGGGAATTTGAGAACTCGGTTCAGATCTTTTAAGCGGATCAGGTGGTGAGTTTTCTGTGAATTCCATTTGCATCTTCTTTTGATCATCATATGTGCTTGAAGCCTCTGAAGGGCAAGCTTCTAAAGCATGGTCTTCCATGGAAGAAAAAAATAAATTAATAACACGCTAGAAATTAAAAAAAAAAAAACAAAAAGGAAAATCTTGGGTTTTGGCAAAAGGTTGAAGAGAATTGGGATCTCCTTTATTGGGGTTTTGGAATTAATTAATGCATGATATTCATGTTTTGAAAGAGATCTCGTTTCGCAACTATTATATCAGCAAAAGATAGTGAAACTTTGTTTGATATATTTCGGCAAGTCACTCAATAAAACATTCCATATAATTAAACAAAGATTGTGGTTAATTGGTTGTGATCAGTGCACCAACGTTTACGTGGATGGAGTTTGAATTTGATTATAAGGAAACACGCATTAATAGTGACGATCAAATAATTTAAAAACTTAAGCAATTATGATGTTTGAGCAAGTCTATTTATTGTAATGGTCATCCTAATGTCGGTTTCTCCTTGTTGATGAGTTATATATTATAACGCAAAAATGGGTGTATAAAAAAGGGTATAAGTGAATTAGTAAAATATTTTATCATAATAAAAAAAGAGTTAGTTTGAATTTACTAATTAATTATGTCGATAATATTGAATTATAAGAAAATGAACACGCCGTATATTTCTTTTAGGAATAACTAAGCTGGTCAGGTTTATTTTTAGAAATTTTATTAATACCCAATATTTTATTAAGGCACCTCAAAAATATTTAAAATTTAAAGTTAATTTCTTATTAATATTGCTCTCACATTGTCCCACAAATACCCTCAAATACGTTTCTTAATTATATATATATATATATAAAAAAAAAAAGCTTTCCAATTACATCTACTTTCCCATATTTTTCTTTCTGCCAAAACAATTATCAACCGTTCGCTTGGTGCATATCCGGATACGATCAAGAAACGTAACTTAAAAATTAATACACTATATATCTCAGTCCCAAATTTAAAAGTCAAATAGAGAAAATCCAGATATATGTTGATGATCTGCGTAGGCGTAGCTCTCAAGGCTTTGAAAACTAAATCTTTTGGTCTTGTAAGTCATGGTCACTTGGTCAGTGCCATTTCATCAACGGCGCCATCTGATATTTGGATGGTTCTAATTAGTTAGGCGGCTAGTTTATTAACTTGATTAGTCGAATACAAAACAACTACTCCGTCTAATTTCAATCTCTGTCATATAAAAATACATATATGCATATACATATATATATAGGCTTTGTCTACAGTCTTTACGAGGAACCGTCCATCCGACGTAACATATGAAAGTAGAAACGTAACATTATAATTATTTAAGGTAATATATATACTAGAAAGACATAACACAAAAAACTTCAACTAGCTCATACTATTGTTACACTTTAATTTGGTTATTCAACATAATAAGGATGTTAGAAAGTGTAATGATAGTTAAAGATAATTAAATATCATGATATCTCACATTTTTAATGTTAGTATGATGTTGAATAAATAGCATGTTACATTTTATACTTCTATATTATGTTAGAGGAACAGTTCCTTCAGAAAGATTGAAGAAAAGCCCTATATGTATATACACATTATATATATATATATATATATATATATATATTTAAAGTTACGACTTTCTTTATCAACTTTGTAGAATAACGTTTATGCAACTTTTATGATGAGGATATCTCAAGACCAACAACTGTTGTACAAAATCTTTTGTAAACGAATTTAAGCCAGCTGATTGAGTCCAGCCACACAATTTTTGGAGATCAACCTATTTAGTCCCCACACTTCGCAATTCTTAGGCTGCAGTTTACTTTTTGGCATTTCTTTGAACCAACAAACCAAAGAAAGAGACGGATGAAAGGTAATTTCAGAAAACATATCAACATTTTAAAAATTCTCACTCTATCACGTTTTCTTTTCTTTGAAAATAAAAGACTTTAGAGAAAGAAGGTGACATACTCGTATGATCTCGATTGTGGCATATAGATCTCTTGTAAAGTGGATTGTCCATATATTTTATCTATCGAGATTACCTCGAACTTAATATCTTATTGAGAAGAATGAGTAGCCAACTACTCTACACCAAATGACCAATGGTTATTCCTATATCACCTAATGTTAATGAAAATTATTAGTTTTTAGTTTCTACTAGTATTTTGTGTGCCAATGATAAAATTAAGACTAATTCTTGAAGAAACATAAGTACGCCAAGTAGGTTTCATCTGATATACTTCTCTCTTTCTCTTCCTTTGGGCTATCATTCCTCACCTTCAACTTTAGATATCACTTTGGAGTTCAAATCTATTTTCCCAAATTTCTAATCCTATTAGCTTTCCTCACAATACTATTTTACCGTATCATCTAAACTTAAGAATTTGGCCACATAATAAATATCAAATATTAAAACTACTTAGGCAGTCAAATGGATTGGTGAAATAGTGTTTAAGGGGACAACCAATGAGATGCAAAATTCGGGACAACAGATTTCAACCCTAGATTTTGAGCATTCAAAGTAGCTTAAAAATAACCACGGTTGTAGATAAAAGCAAGCAAGTGTAAGGAACAGTTTAAAGGTGGTAACTAGATAAGTCCATTTAATAATGGGCCCAACCTAACACTTGTTATGAGA